TGTAACTTATTTCACAGAGATTTATTAGTCTATAAAAAAGTACAATTTTCAGAGGTACTTCTTCCTTAGCCTGAGAAGAAAAATATAGAATAAAAAGGAGCTTCTAGCCCAGTCTCAGGAGGCAGAGAATCAAGCAAGCAAACTGTACCTATCCAAGGTACAGTCTCAAAATCCTCTTTTTTGAGAGTAAGGGCTAACTTGAACTTTCTGCAGTATGCACTCCCAGGAACATGCAAGAAGTTGAATTTCATGCAGCAGTTTAGATATCAGGAGTTAAGGATTTCAAGAAGAAACACAAACTTGGTAAGTTAGTAGCAAAACAGATGTCTGACAGTGGAGTATTTGTGAAGAGACCATGGTTCTCATGACCTTAGACTCTACTGGGAGAGAACACAATCTCACGGTGGCCAAGTCTTCACGGAGTATCAAAGTGAAGAACTGGAACTTTCTTGTTTATTGCAGCTGAAGGAACTTGGAAAGCCAGACAGGCTGTGTTGGCAGGTCCAGGATCAACTCACAGTCCATAGAGAATTTTATAGTAGAAGATAATAATGACAGCAAAAGAAAATAAAACATGATGAAGTTGTCCTGAAAGAGCCTGCTGGCCACTGTCAAAGCCAGAGACGGAGAGGCCAAAACAGGGAAGGAAGGAAAAGAGACACTTATCATGTATAGCAAACAGGCAGAAGTTATGCTTACACTGGTATCCTGGGGTGAACACCTGCTTTCCAACTTTGTGTGGAATTAACCACTGGTATGTAAAACACATGCTTTCCTATCCCGCATCCAAGTGTGAAACAAAACAAATAATGCTGATATCTCTGTGCCTTAAAATTTCCTCCAAAGGGTCTGTAAAACTGCCTTCCTCACTTCTGCGTATTGGTAAAAAGGCTTCATGAAGCAACATGCAACACAGTAATAAAGTAATACCCCTTAACCAAGCGCTAGCTAAATATGTTGATTAAAAAATTCTGACCCTAAACACCAAAATCTTTGATGACAGAAGCATCAGACAGAAAACTGACAAGCCAACCATACAGCAGGAAATACCTGTCCCTAAACAAGTCATCTCATAATCAGATGTAAGCTGAGGCAATAAAAAGGAGTAATCAAAAAGCTCTGGAGCCAGAAGGCTCTATGTTTTCAGGATTTGCAATTTGTACATTTAATACAATGGTCACATTGAATGTTAAACGTAATTACACTGTGGGTCTGGAGCAGAATGCTGAAAACACACTTTGGGAAATATTTCATAAAATCCCATTAAATTCTGATGTTATTCTGAATTCAGTTGGTTGCAGGCACCAACAAACAGACCTCATTTACAGGAGCTTGGAAGGTCAAGGCAAAGAAAGCAAGACTGAACATCCTCTAGGGGTCAGAAGGATTGAAGAATGCCATTTGCCTTTTAAATTTATCATTAATTCAGATCAGTAATAATGAAGAAATCAAAAAGTCCCCAAATTAAAACCAAAACCTTTGAATTTGTCAGAAGAAATGAGTGTTGCCATCCGTACGCAGAAGCTTGTAAAAGTGGGTGACAAACAACCATGTGCTTTGAAACCCTCCTGGTGGCAAGTCAGTGAGCTTAAATCCTTCAGAGTTCTGAGTTCTCAGCTCAAGGGACACAAGTCATCCCATTAGCACTGTTATCTCTGACTTACACATCTCATTGCTGGTGAACAAGCAGGACCAATGAGATGCTGTGCTTGACTCCCTTTAGAAATCTCATGAGCCCAAGGGAAGTTCCATGAGTTGTTAAATTCAAATTTAATCTAAGGCTTTCATTGAGAACAGTTCATAAGCTCTTATTAAACAAGAGGGAAAACTTGATTCTGCAGATCTAGCTTTCAAAAACCAAAAAGAGGTGAAAGGTGCAAGTCTGTCGAGCTCCCACCTTCAGCTGTTGAAAATGGAACAGGGAAGATAACAAAAGGGAGGTAAATCATCTGCCTGACATAATCCATTACCTGTCTTCTGCAGAAAAATTAATGCTCCTAAGTTATTTTCTGCTAAGTTCTGAGTAACAAAGCTCAGCTTGGATTGAGGTGCCTGAATCTGTACGATTTCCATGTTCAGACCCTGATAGAATGGAAAGACCCCCCAAAAGAGCATGTAAAGCCAACTAGCATCAGCAGTTTAATACAAACACCTATGAGTGAAAAAGAAGAGCCTATCACCCTTCCAAAACACTGACTGCCATTTTACCACAAAACGCCAAGAATAATTAGTATGACTTCAGATTTCACACAACAAATTTCTCTGCTTATCAGAAACAGTTCAAGAATGAGCTCTGTATACTCATCTGAGAATGGCTGATAAAGTTATATATGTTTATGGCTTTTATTTCCCCCCAGGACATTTTTCCTTGATGATATTTCACTTCTGATTATCTGCCTACCCAAACACGCATATGCAGCAGGGGACGGCGCACAGGCTGCTCTGCAGGAAGTTTGCAGGGAGGAAACGAGTGATCAGTGTTTTGTTCCACATTGGGAAATGTGATCTTCTTATATCAATATGAGAGTGCCTGCAGAGAGAGTGGGGACTTAATAGACATGCAGATCCACAGAGTGATTACTGCTTGCTGAGCTAAAGAGATGCCAACCCTAACATCTGTTTGCTGTTCATTCTGTCTTATCAAAGCCTTTTCTGTAACCCTTATCACACAGTGTGGACAGGATGGCTAACAAAACATGCTCTGTTAGCTGAAGAAACAAGTTACTGATCCAGTTAGCTTAGCAAAGGACTCTACAAAGAAAACACATTGCTTACCTTTACACAGGAGTAAATGATGGAAACAAACACCACCGTGGTCAAGATCAGAAAACAGGTCAGGTAAAAACCCAGCATAAATGTAGAGCTGAAAGCAAGGAGATTTATTTTTAATACATACCATATAGAAAGCTACCGGTCTGATCTCTAGACTATGATATTTGTACAAGCTATGACACACCGCACAGGCTTTCCAATTAGGATAGCAGTAGGAGATGCAAGGCGCCTTGAATACCAACAGGTAGGCTGCCATATTTGAATTAGTCACATAGGCTGCAGAGCAGAGAATGCTGCATCTTTTATAGCAATCACCTTCCTGCTGAGGTGACAGCAGAGGGACTGAGAAATATCTCCTGTGCTTGAGGAGGTGATGGAACAATTTATTACAGAGGGTCAGCCCTGCTGGCTGCGGGCTGCAGACCCCAGGCAGGAAAAGCGTGCTGTGCACTGCAGTGCAGCTGAGTGTATGCGAAATCCACAGGGAAGGCACATTTCATGTTAAGCTGATGAAACTCTTTTATCTGTGCCCCAGGTAGAGCTGGGAAACCTGGTGCTTTTCTGAGGGAACACACAAGGGAAAAGCTCAGTGGGGACAGCCTTGCCACGTCTGAGCTTCATCCTGTGTGTGGAACAGGAGTAACCACGGCACAAGGATGGGGGTAACAGCTCTAGCCTGGTCAGCTTGAGACGTTCCCCTGCTTTCTCTGTTCCTCTCAACTTTGAAGTACAAACAGGACCTCAGGGCTAACTTTGTACTATGCATTTTTGCATATGTGTTTTGATCATGGAGATATTCAAGAACAATTTTGTAGTGATTGGTCTCAGTATGAAAGGACAGGCCCCCTCCCAGGAGTTTGCCTTGTTCATAATTTAAAGGAAGTACTCTTGCAACATGACATTAAGGCTAACCACACCAAAGCCAGCTGGTCTCTGTGTTCTCTCATGACTATTAGGATAATTGTACTTGCTAATTCACTGTTTGAGCCTTTGTGAAATTCACTGAAGTGATTCCTCTTAATCATCGCAAGTCACCATCGCCATTTTGTCTCTAGTGTCAGACTCAAATTCCTTTGAAGCTCTGATGGTGACACATACACACCTGTGGTTTCGATTGCAGCTTAACTGTTACCTTCAACAGAAGACCAAAGTTATGCAATTGAAATATTGAAAAAAACAACCCTAAAGTAGTGGGAAAATGTATCTGATCCTCGTTTAAACCGTGAAATTTTATTTTAATTCAAATCAAATTATCTTTCAGACAGATCAGGATGCCTAAAAACTTACCAGAAGTGCTAACCACCCCCTTCCAGGTCATGAGGAAGGGGACGGAGCAGCGTGGCATTTATACCACACTGCCTGTAATATGAAAGAGTCAGCCATATGGTTGGTGCAGATCAGAAAGTGTCAAGTTGTCATTTCAATGTTGAACTGGGTTTTATGGAGATAGCTTAGTGGCTGCTTTGGGAGTTTGATGAGAACCACAAAGCCTCGTAGAGAGCCTTTGCATGTGAGAGCTCAAAGGGGTAATATCCAGCCAGCAGATCTAAAGTGTAAGCCATTAGTAAGCGAGGCCAAGCTCTCTAAGAATATTTTGGCCATTAGCTACAGTGTGGTATTTGCTCGGATCTATCTGATTTCAGTTTTAACCTCTAGTTTCCCAAAGCAGATCTGTCTGTTTACATAATGCATTTACACTGATGTTATTTCGCTGATCTAATATTTCTGTGAGCAGAAGTGAATGTCCTCTTGCCTGGGAGAGAGAATGACCTCAAACAATAGACCACGCACTATTTCTATGACCTTCCAAACATCTCTGAATGGTACAAACCAGTCTCTACTCTGAAAAGAAGTGCAGTGTGAACAGACGTAGAAGCAGTTGTAATGACAAACAAAAGCACTGGAACTCTCTATAAAAATTTTTTGTCTTCTTGTAATGAAGATGAATTTGGAGCATTGTTAGAGCTTCTGAGATCTTGTTCTTCAGATTAAAAATGACTAACTCTAAATTCATTTCCAACACTGCAGTGTTCAGTGAATGATATATTATTGTTACTAAATGAGAGCACAGGAAATACCAACATGTTTTAATTTCAAGGGATTTTTTCATGAACTCTTTGAGAAGAAATACCATATCTGCAGAGCTCACTGCTGGAAAAGATCCAGAGAGTTACACTGTTCCTTTCAGATGCAGGAACACACTGCAGTGGTTCAAAAGCTCTGTGCGCCACAGCCCAGAGGAGCTTATTCCACTTCAGTCCCTCTCTTGCCTGGGGAAAGAAATGACTGCATCCCTTAAACCCCGGGTAAGCTATCAAAGCTTAGGCATGTGTAGCCTTTTGTACTTTTCTTCTTCTTGCATGGCTGCTCTGAATCCAGAAGAATAAATGCACAAGAGGTTAAACCTCACCTGTGAAGCAGACCCTAAAACCTCAGCACTCTGAGCAGTGAGATTGTGATGGGTTTTTCACCTCTCTGTTCTATTGCATTTAGATAAGGGGACAGACCAAACTCATGCTGTGAATGCACACTATGCCTCAATAGGCACAGTAAGCTTACAGCTTAGTGATATTTGTTTTTCCACGGCTTTATAAATGTGCCAAATCAAATTTTGTAAAGTGGAGGTAAATGTAAGAGAACTCTTGCTGGCAAAACTGAAAGACTCACATGCCAATGAGGAAGTTTAATATGCACTAGAAATGAGTGGAAACAATAAGCATCACACATAACTCAAGAATGAATTATTTAAGGATTTTCTTTTCCCCTTGGTGCTCTGACTTCTCAAGAAAAAAGCAACAAAGAAATGTAGGCTAGAATATTGGGGGGGCAAGGGAGGGGAGCAGATAGAAGCAAAGGGGTGATAAGATAAGATAAGATAAGATACTCACTGCGGCACAATTATGATCTGAACAAAGCAGATGAAGAGGAAGACTAGGGAGGCACAAGCCACATAGGCTCCGAATCTGTCGTCCACCTGCTTGGAGTACTGCAAAAAAAGCAAAGTGTTACATTAGTGGAAAAATTGGCTGCTGCCTTCACCCAACCAACAAACGCTTGTTTCTTGGCTTCCATTTAGGTTCTTGGAAAGAACTGCCAGTAGGAAAAGACTAAGACTACAAACTCCCCTGGTCCCTGGGCAAGCTGTAAGGGTTCAAACCCTTACAATGTTCCAAAGACCAGGGAACAAATCAATACAGCTGGATAGAGGGTTCAAAGCCTGGTCCTTGCATCAGAGGAACAGAAATGAGGATACTTGGGACCAGGATAATAGGTCACTACAATCAGACATGAACTTCTTCTATGGGAAGCTTCCTCCAACAAGGATGAATGCTGCTAATGAGAAAACCTTGTTTTCTTTTGTGCAGACAGCTTGGCTCACTCTAACGATGGTGCAAGGATGCTGTGGTTTTCACACAGTCACTCCTTCCAACTACTTGTCAACATATCAGTCACATGGGAGCTGCATCCAATTCCCAAAGATGCTTTCTTTAGCTTGAAGCATGGTTCTCAGTACAAACGGTTTCAATATTTGAACCACGAAATGAAAGGTGCTGAGAACAGGTGAACTGCTAATTTCCTTAGCAGTTTTCAGCTATAAAATTGAAGAGGAGTGGGGGTAAATTACATGCTTGTGCTTTCACTTGATCCCACACAGGTGCATTGAATAGCTATAAGTCCTGCGAAAGTCTGTTTTCACAGTAGGCTGCAATTCTTGTCATTGAAAGAGTATTTCTACATAAAACGAAATAAATAGTGCCAACTTAATTTCTGAAATCTTATCCATTAAATGGTGAGCTTAACATGGAAACTGCTCAAGTATCCCAAGGATCTGCGCTGGGATGAAAAAAAAAAAAAGAGGAAAAATAAGATGTGGAATTTCTTTGGGCAGTTAAAAACTGTAGCTCACATGGTACCCTTAACAGTAACTGCATTTAACTGGACTTAATGTCACAGTCCAAAGAAAATTTTGTCTCTATTTAATAGACAGAGAAATTGAAAAGATCTTTGCCTCACAACACAAAGATATCTGAAAGCCATCAGCTATTCAGGACTCCTGGTCTACTACTCTCCTCTCCCAAATCTGTGTGAGTGAGAACTCTAACTGTCGCTTAAAATGGGTTCCCAAAGACAGAATAATGAACCTTAGTAGCACTTACAGCTCCCTGGGTGGCAAGGCATTACCTTTTTCTCCAGGTCAGGCTCCCTGAATGTTAAGAGAAACTTGCGCACGTGCTCAGAGCGTAATCGGTCAATACTTCTGGCATCAATGGCCCGGCCCAGAAACTCATCCACTTCATCTTCTGGGTTCATACTTTCCTGTGTATTCCTGAGGATGTGGGAAAAAAAAAAAAGGAACATAAGAGGGTAAGATAATTGCCTCCTCTTAACCACATGTTATCATCTGACTCTATAACAAACTGTGGGTTAATGGCATTTTGCTTATGACAACTTTGAGCTGGAAAATGGATTGTGAGCTGAGAGGAAAATTAGACCAGCTGCACTGCACACTGACAGCCCGCCAGTGAAAGAATTTCATTTATTTGCCTTTTTTTTCTAAACAACCTCCAAATCAAGGAGCTTTCTTGCTTTGGAGTCTCTTTACTGTGCTTCATCCTCACAACTAGGCTGTAATTCCCCTCCACTAGTCCTTAGACTTAGTCTTCCCTGCTGCACTATCGATGATCTATGTAACCAGCCATATTCACTGTTTCGCTATAATTGTGTCTATAATGATGTTGGATTTTTCAGGTTGGATATTAGAAAGAATTTCTTCGTAGAAAGAGAAGTTGGCATTGGAACAGGTTGTCCAGGGAAGTAGTGGACTCATTGTCCCTGGAGGTGTTAATGGAAAGGGTAGATGTAGTACTTAAAGACATGGTTCAATGGGCAATATTGGTGGTAAGTGGATGGTTGGACTGTTAGATGATCTTAGAGGTCTTTTCCAACATTAACGATTCTATGATGTCTGCAAAAATTTCAGAACTTGAATAATTCTCCATTACTGAGAAAAAAATTGTTTACAGAACAAACCTTTGACAAAAACAAACGTGGGGAAAAAATGTGGCCTGACACCCCACTGCTTCCCTCATGCAGTTTTTATGAGTAAGAGAAGCAGACAATATTTCCTGTTTACAAGATACTTAATTCACTTGAGCTAGGGAGAAGGTAGCAAAAAACCCTCCCCAACATAAATTAGATTCTGCTTTCCAAATATCTGGAAGATTTTAAGATTGCTTGTAATCTTTGTTGCCATTTTGTTTTTGATGTTCATCTACGGTTTTTGAAAAATGTTAAAAAAAATAACATCAAAAAATTAATTGCCCCGAGGCAATTTGCACATGCAGTCAGGAAACCTGAAGCACCTCCCAAAAATTTATTGCTGCTTCTTAAAATTTAGTCACTTGCTGATGCCACTTTAATGGTCTGCCTTAAAACTAGCCATGGGCAGAAATTAAAAGCGCATTCTGAAGTGCTGTTTTTCTGTTCTGTTTACATGATTGCCAAGGACACAGAAGTTGCACAGGGTATATTCCAATGGACAGCTATTTCTGTGTGCAAATCCCACGGTGGGAATGCAGCTTCCAGCTCATGTTGAGTGACCTTCACCTTTGGCACTCTGGAAAAAAGTCCCAGGCTCTGACCAGCAGGATGGGAAGCTGCAGTGCTTTCTGTTCTGAGTTTCGTTTGCACTGCAGGACAGGGCGCAATGCCCAAGGCTGCTGCTGGACTTACTGGCAGGGTTGTGCTGTGAGCAGAGGCTGCTCAGCGCAGCCTACAAACCAGAACATGATGCCATGCTCAAGGTTGAAGTCCCCGTCTCAAAGGAAAGGCTTTTTGCTGGACATGGCAGGATTGTAGAGGCACTCTGTGCCCCTGCTCTGCCATGTACCTCTCACCAAGAGAAAGGCAGACCAGGCCTACTGGCTCGTTGCCACCTCTCCTGCCCCTGGCCAGCCAGGCTGCTCCAACACGTTGGTGTCTCTTCATGGCCATGTGGCAATGGCAGCTTGTCCACCTTGCCTCGGTGACTCACTACTGCTTCACCCAATCAATAGTTCAGTAGGGTTGGAGCAAAACAGTTGTTTTTATTTTTGGCCTGTAGTTATTTAGTTCCTTGACGGTCATGTATTCCTCTTTGAAACTATAATGAAGTTTTGTTCCCTAGAAGGACAGGAAATTCAATTTACTTCTAGATGCTCCCTTGGAGGAAGCACGTCTGCTTAAGCAATCAGCAAGTGGCTGCTTGCTTTTCAGTCCGTCCTCACAAGTCTGTCTTCTGGACCCATAAAAAAGAGTAAGGAAATCATTACGGTTCATATTTACAGAATGTCTTCCAAGATCCTGCAAGTTATTTACACACGTGGGTCGTTCACATTCAGTCATTTCATACACGTATGAGAGAGGCAATACATTTTCCTCCAGAACTGGAGCAAAGAGTTGGCTCAGCATCCTCGTGAACCTCAGTCACATTTCAACCTCCAGTTGAACAGCAACATTCAGGAGGATGTGAAGAGAAAAGAAAAATCTGCACAGGCTTTGGTCATGGCTGTCTCCAGTTCTGTAACAGGTCATTGTACTGCGGAGGGCATTTCTCATACTACATCTTCTGTGGTTGCAGCTTATGTAAACACATTTCTGCAGTTTTTAGGTAACCTTGCAGGGATGTTCATTGCAAGGTAGGCACACTCGAGCAAACAGCAGGGAAGCCTGATCACCTGCACATACTCTGCTGGTGGGGCGGCTGCTCTGCATCCTTGACTGTTGTACCCCTATTCATTACTGTACAGTAAGTCTGGGTACATCTGCATAAGTCCTAAGTCAAAAGAGCAAATGTTCTTGTTCTAAGGAGAGCCCTGAAGGCTGTGCTCCTAAGTCAGAGTGGAGCTACTGCCATGGAGTAATGAAATTCATATGTGGAAATGTGTTTTCATATATTGATAGTGTGTGAGGGGAAAAGCAGGGATTTCAGGCCCCCAAGAAACTTTCAGAAACACCTCTTAAAAGTGCTGTTGAGATCTGTACAAAATGCAGCCAAAAGAAAATTGTTACAAGGGATGGGAACAACATGAACAGAGCTGGGAGCAGCTTTTGCACTCCGCTTGTGCATGTGAAAGCTAGCAACTGACCCAGAGAAGTTGGCTTCAAATAATCCAAAAACATTCTGCTTATTCAGTTACTTCCTGCAAATGAAGAGTGTGAGAGTGTGACCACTGCCAGAACTACATATATGGCATAATTGTAAATGCCTCATGCCTAGGTTCAATGACTACATCTTCACTCAGGCGAGTGTCAGGTCCTGTTCTAAGAGATACATGGTGCTTCATCCTTGCTGTTGGAAAAGAGCTGTGCTTTTGCATGTGAAAGCACAGAACTGAGTGCTTGGTGTCTAATTTAAACAATGCCATGAACATTTCCTGGCAGAGGTGGTTTTTTTTAGCCACATCTTTATCCCTGAATTAAACAGATTGCTGGATCAAGAGAATATAAGGCAATTAGGAGATTTTTTGTGTGTGTGTGGAGCAGGAGTGAAAAAAGCCTGCAATCTGTATAGTAAGATAGGGGCACACTGAAACAGCACTAGTAAATACAGAGTAATCCTTGCCAGCACTTAGCAGCTCAAGTAACCTTTTCAAATTGCAGGATGGAGGAGAGACATGACCATCCTTGGAGTACCCACCTGTGGAGGAACCATTCCTCACTCACTGAGTGACTCATCCGTAGCCCAGCACCAAGGCAGGAGAACTTATGTTCTCTTACGTGAAACGTAAGGACAGACCCTATTTCATGAAGAATACTTCAAAATTTCTGTATTCCTCACAATTATTTTGTTGCAATCTGTTAGATCTTTTTCCTCCAAAATATATCCAGTATCAGTTGAGTACACAGCAGCCATGGACACAAGATTCTCCCCAGATACCCTGCACCACACCGAAACATCTCATGGCGCTCAGTGGTAAATGTTATTAAAACAGAGTTTGCAGTGAAGGGCAAGAGGAGGAGAAGATCCCAAGTATTGTCATGTCCAATCTTACCACATTCCTTTACTTCTAGGGAGTTGCACTCAGTGCTCAGCCATCATAACATGAATTTCCCTACAGGCACATTATTTAGGGCCCACAGAAGCATTCAGCTGCCCCAGCATACACAGATCTGCCAAGTCCTTATTGGCAGCCTGAGAAATGTGATAAAGAGCAATAGCAACATATTTCAGGCATCAGTCTCTTCTACTGTCACCTGTCTTGCCCTGAGCAAGCTTACAATTAATGCCATTCAGTGGTTCTGAATAAGAAATAATTATAGACACCCTCACTACAAGAAATTTTTTTTGTAATGTCCAGCTGTGGAAGTGAGAAAGGGACTATATTTTTTTTTTCTTCCTCCAAAAGAGATTTTTTTTACCACCCATGTTTTATCACTATTTTTGCCATTAAAAAAATTGTTAGATATGAAATAGATCAAAATGCTGCTCTAGCATGCTTGTATTTTACAGCATGAAATTATGAATTCACCTTTTAAAATGAACTGTCATTTCTGCGTTTACTTTTGCATGTAGAAATTAGTACTATGTAATAATTAGAAGTACATACATAAGAAGCACTCAGGAACTATATTTGTCATTTAGACATACATAATTTGTTCTTATTGGAAATGTTCAACACTGCTAGACACACTTTTCATGATGATTTTGTTCTTGGGATATTGTCAAAACAGCAAACACTGAATAACGCTGGGTGGGGTGGGAAAGAGCAGCAAAATGTTTTAATTCCAAATGCCAGCTAGACTCAGACAAATCAATAAATGTTTTGAGACAGTGACAGCTCTGACTGCACATCAGTCAACCCCGTGTCCTCAGACTGGCTGTCCCTACAGGAGAAGTCACTGGGGGGTCCAGGCACTATTCTTGGCTGCTGGGCACTAATTTTTGTCCTTTTTTAATATGAGAAGAAAAAAACAACCAACAACACAAAACCCACAAACATAACAGCATATGACAGAAGAGAATTTGCTTACTTGTCCTTGGGGTCCTCAAAACCCTGTAAGAGAGGAAAAGGACACAAGGGTTAGGAAACAGGCAAATCTTAAGAACTCAAAGCATGCAGAGAACGACACTGCAGAGGAGTTTTCGGAGCATTCACTGCCAGGTGTGGATGGAGAGCCTTACCAACCCACGGCAATGTTTGTGCTGCTGTGTCATCGGGCAGACAGAACAGTTTTAGAAAAACACTTGGCTTTCAGTATAAATTTATGGAAATGGAGATAAGAGAAATGCTTCAGCTGACTGCTGGCACACGTTATTTGAGATACAAAACTCTGACCGCTAACATGGGACAACCACGTATTCAATCCGGCACAGCTGCACCTCTTTATTTAAGCTGGGGATTGGCTAAGGGAGCCCAATGCATTTTGCTTTATATTTTTTCAGTAGGAACCCCATAAGAGTCTTCTTCCATCTCCTCATACTGCATGCACACGCAAAAAAAATGTGTTTCCTTAAATAAGACTGCAGAAATTGTAATTTCTGTGTGTAATAACCAAAATGTTTCACAATTCCTTTGGGGCCACCTGAACTGAGTGAGTGTGTGTATTCACGGTCACCCATAGCTTAAGTGGCTAGAAAGCCTCAGAGAAAAACGTATGAAGGCACACACACTTCTATATGTTTAGTATTACCATACCTAACAGACCAAATACCGCGAAACAGGACATTTTGCATGGGATGAAACAAAATCTCTCCTCTGAAATCTTGGCTCGACTTTAACTGAAGTTAAGAGAGGTTGTATACTTGACAAGCAGGGTCACAGGCACAGGGTTTGTACCCTGTGTTCCAAAACATAAGAGAAATGTAACTGGGAGATATGCAACTTTGCTTTTGTTTTCCTCCCTCAGGCCAAAACCGCTCAGAGCACATGAAGATGTTGCAGCTGCTGGACCTGCAGCTGCTCCCGGGTTGGGGGAGCAAACAGAGGCCTGCCTGATGCTGCACGACTACAAGGAAAAGCCTTTGGGCAACAGTTTTCACACAGCTGCGTTGTGTGTCGCCATCAGCAACAAGAACACGGACCAGATTCTAAAGGAGAACAGATTTTGCCCTTGCGATGAGTTAGCAATGTGGTGGTACAGCAATGGGCAGAAGCAAAACCAACACAGCGACCCTGGATGACACCAACTCGGCAAGTGGAAAAAAGAGGTCCTGGTCCCTCAGGTCAACAGGCAGGACTGTGATTCACAGAGAGCTATGTCCATTTTTATACCCTCCGTTTCAAAGTCAAACCACACCTCAAAATAGAAACTGCAACTCCAACTTAACCCGTCCGAAATCCAGATGAAGGAAGGTTCTCAGTGCCATGTACTAACCACCAGTGGATTCAAGTGCAGTGGGAAGAAGGAAACAGTAATGTTGATTCAATGTTAACATGTGCACTTGTCCAAGCCAAACAAAACATGTACTTTTGATTTCATGTTAAACAGTGCTGAAGGGATCATTCAGCTTCTTGTTGTGTGGCTTTTTTTTTTTTTCTTAATCATTCTACAGTTGTCAAGAATATCTGATTTATTTATTTATCCTCTAAGCAATGCTAAACTCAGTGCCAAGAACGAAAGCTCACTGATTAATCATGGAGACAAAATGCTTAGTAATTTGTCTGGTGTCATAGCCAGTTAGGCTGGAAAAAATAAGAAAATCAGCTGAAGATGGATAGCTACCAGCCAACAAATGAGGGGGAGAGAACTGATGTGAAAACAGACAGTACTTGCTTATTAGATAGACATCAAGTTCACATTTTCTAGCTTATCCACGTGGGAAATGGATGACTGACTGCAACTGGAGCGTCTCCTAAAATGGTCTGATTTTCATGGACTGCTGAGAAACTATTCATCCTACTGATGTCCTGAAATCAAACACAGATTTCAGACTCCTGCCTTCTAGGTGTGCATGTTTGGGAATACAAGCCAACAGGTCAATTTACAAGAAAATCTCAGCAAACATATCCTCAGTAAATGCCACAATACTTCGAGCGTGAAAAAAAATGTGGGCTGCATGTTTAGCTGGTCATTGACCAAGGTGAACACTTCAGCTACACAGAACTGGATTCTCCCCTGCCTTTTTCCCCCAGCAAAAACACTGTAAGTAAATTCTCTAAAATAATACAGAATTAATTGATTTAGTTCTACATTTTTAAATACTAGATTGTACTTGAAGCCCTAGAAGTTATTCATGTTGGCAGCTCAAACAAAATTAGTGCTTTAAAATTAAAACCTCACAAAAAGCCTATTTCAGGTAGAGCAAAAAAGGAAATGATTATTCTATGTTCTTTCCCAAATTTTCTTCTAACAGTATCTAAATATTTAAGAGTGACATGAACTCTAATTAGAGAGAATCAGCTTACAATTAAATGTAGTAGGAACCTCTCTGAGTTAAGCAAATCAAATGATTCACTTCAAATGTTCCCATTTTGTGAGAAAGATTCTTCAAGCAGAATTTCCAAAAATGGAATTGTTATGGAGAGAGGTCTGCAAGGTTATTTTAGGAAAAAAAATAGTCCAAACAAAAAACAAAAAAACCAAAAAACCCATAGCTTCTTAGAAACTGATAGCATATAACAGGAGATCTTTCTCCTTTGCATTGAAACACTTTGCTGGGAATCAGAAAATATACATCTCAGAGATCTGAGACCAGAGATTTTTTCCCCTGTTCATTAAAGCTTCAGCCTCTCAATTGCATGCCAAGAATACTTTTAAGCAGGGAGATGATCGTGTGCACAGTGTCATGCTGCTCACCCTCTTCAGGTTGGGAAGGAAATTTCCCCCTGGGCTCTGTCTAATGTGTTTTCAATTCCTCCCACTTTGTGGGCATGCTTGGTCCATTACAATCATTTGAAAATGGTCACTTAAATTATTTCCTTTCCCTTGCACAAAGCTTGAGCACACTGGTCTTTTTCCATTTCCACTGCTAGCAAACAGTTTCATTTCTAGATGTCTTGGATGCTTTCCTCCAGTTAAAATCCTTTGGCTCAACACAGGTCTTGTAGGAATATGGGCTACAGTAATTTGGCTTCACTCCTAAAGACTAACACACTCATGGCCTAGGAGACAGATGACCACAAATCACAATTTCCTCACAGCATGCAAAGCAACACAGACAGTGAGGCCAGCTCTCCTCCCCTGTTCACCTCTACTGAGATGAGCTCAGGGATCTCTGCATGGAGTCCCATCACGTGTGCACAAACACCTTCAGGTGAAGGAGCTCAACAGGAAATGTGAGATAATGAACGTTGTTGCTGCAAGCAGCCCTGATCTCTTCTGTCCATGCTGCTGGAGGCTGGGTAGCTGTGCTGGGCAGTGCAGTACCCAGCCTGTCTGGGTATGGAGCAGCTTTAGCTCCTCAAAGGTACACCAAGATTGGCATTTCTGCACACACATATACAGAGATCTGAGCACCCAGGCAAAATAGCTGATAAAAAGCATGTGCCCACCATCTATGAAAGAGGGAATAAGAGGGTAGGAAGAGAAGATGCCAATTCCTGGAGTAGAGTATATAAATCCCCTCTTGATTGCTCATGGACTTATGCCCAGCAAGCTGAAGCAGTACCAATGGCTTTCCAGGGTGCTACAAAGAAAAGTCTGGGAACTGTCAGCAGGAATGAAAATGGCAAAAGTGGTGATGGCTACAGGAATCAGACAGAAATGAGTTCAGAGAAATTCAGGAATAGCTCCATAACCACAATGACGGAATAGCCCTTGTTACAGTCAAAATTCTTTTTCTCTAAAGGAAACCCAAGGCATGAAACTGGTCAATGCTAAAGGACCTCATGCAATTCTTATTCAGGCACTATTTTAATATCCCTGATACTGGGATTTTTCCCCATCCCCCAGGAGACTGCATTATTCAGCCATCAGCCTGCAAATGAAAAGGTAAAAGTATTTAATAATTGCTTTGAGACTAAGAAAGTTCTCTCTCCGAATTGAGGAACATTAACCCAAACGTAGCTGTATCAGCTCCCATACAGGCAATAATACCCACTGATGAACTGTCTTGCTCTTTTTTCTTTTCTACGTGGGATTATTAAAAAAAAACCAACCATGTGTTATGGCAGGTCAGGTGGCTCTGAATTTACAAGCACTTACTTTTAATGACCATCCTCTGTGGGAACTGACGTGCAGGAGAAAAAAAAGAGGGAACGTGATATTACTGAATCTGTCCCAAAAGCTTACAATTTTATGAGGGATATTTTATGGAAATCTGTTGCACTAACAGCTCATGTGACTGCTGCCTCTCTTCTTGACTTCTAAATTAACTAAGCTGTTTTCTTTGAAGATTAATACGGATTCCTTAAATAGAATGATAAAGCGTTTGTCAAAGCTGTGACAAGCTGACTGCTATACCATAATGCTTTGAATCAAGAACCATGAGAAATAATACTTCTAACTTTGAGAACATTAGCTGTAATTATTAACATATTGTAAATACGCAAAGAAAAGTGGAGTAGACTTTACACCCTTTTAGCTTTTCATCTAGCTCCAAAAACAAGATAATAGAGGAGCTGATGAGCTCTGTGACCTTTTTAATAACAACGTGCTTGGAATGCACAGATTCCACCTTAAAAGCTTTGCTGGCAACTCCAGTAAAGATTGCCAGGGCAAAAATGTCAGAGAAGCTAATTTTGCTTGCCCTTTGCTCATGCCTAGCGCAAAGACCCAAATGAATGGGACTTACATGAAATCTGAAGTACTGCAGACTTACAAATCAAGACGACAAAGTGAGGTTTGTAAGGGCTCACGCCAACTTGCAAAGATGTTCCACAGTAACAAAGATTATGAAGATGTACATGGAGACAGAAAGGCAGAGAGTGGATGGAGTTAAAAACAAACCTGCAATGGCTCCACCACAAAACTAATTATTCACCTCCATTTATCAGATTTTCAGTACTGTGTTACATTCTGCCTTTGTCTCTGTGGTCACCCAGACAAGGCTAGGAAGGCAGATGCTGTTAGGTATAAGAGCAGAAACAGAACTGAAGGATTTTCAAGCACTCAAGCCAGAAATAATGTAATTTCTATACCAGACTCCAGAAAGTACAGGCACACAAATACACAGGCTGGTAGGAAGGGTATTTAACAAGAATCTAAGTGTGGAACAACAAACTGGCGCAAAATTAGTTTACAAAACAGATCAGACCAGCGTGTCTGCTACAGCTGGAACACAGACTAATGAGTTCTGAAGAGGAAAGCTGAAGTGCTCCCTTTCTGCATCCCACCCTGCTTAATAAAATAGACTTTCATTCCTCTGCACTGCTCACAGCTGGTGAAGCACTCTACTTTGTTCTGCTGAAAACAACTTCTACATGGTCTCTGTCAGACTGGACCAGACCAAAACCAAGGATTTATTTAGCTCACCGGATTTATACTATGTAGAACATATGCTGTTGCTTTTGAAATAGTTTTCCCACCTTAATTTTAATTCATTTATGGCTTGGAACTCACTGCCAGAGGAAGGACAGGTTGCTCACACTTCCCAGTTTTCTGAACTCTGAATCCAAATTTCTACATGTCAATGCCATATCTGCAAATGAAACGGTACGTGATTCTGTGCCTCACTTGTGAGCAGTTACCATACCTCACAAAACAGAAAAGATCCAAAAACAGGTAGCGGTAGAAATGCTCTGAACTGGTTCCTGGCTCCTTTATCTCTGTCTTTTCATCTCTACAATCTAAGTGATGATAAACAACACACTTCTACAGAAATTACTGCTGAACCGAACAGATGCACAGATGTAGACAGATGCCAACACTGAATCCAAATGTGACCTCCCTTAATTAGTCATCCACTGTCTCTAGAAACGGTTCTGGTGAGTGCCACAGCTTCACTTCTGATGTCAATGTGTGGTGAGCTGCCACTAACATCAGAGGAGATGCTTCTTGCATAAAGAGAAACAGGTATCTTTATGTCTGTAGGCTTAGTTTAATCCTGCTAAAAGACTGTATGACTTTTTAGTAGTATCTTGATCCAATCTGCCTTTTCCTGTATGACTACAGTTTACTCAAGGAAAGCATGTGATCGTTGGAAAATAATCAGTGCAGGACTTCCCTGCAAATACTAAACTCTAACTAGACTTCACACATGCAGCTGTAGATCAGCTGTTGCTCTTAATCATCTTTTACAAATTTAATCAAGGTCGACAGCAAGCCCCCATCGACTGGAATAAAATTTAAGTTTGCAGACACAAAACTGTACAAAGCCTCCAACAACTTAAGCAATGTATAGTGCTTTATATGGCTCCCACTCATTTATGTGAGATCACGCAGCACATTTGAATCAAACAAATCCTCTTTTCAGAAGCACCAAAGCTGACAAAACTTGCTGTTTTGTCAAACAAATTGGCTTCAGAAAACCCAGACCAGGTTAACAATTTCCTCCCAAGTCTGTCGCAGTGCCTCGGGATTACAGCAGAATGGATTGCCTGAAAGTTTCTCCCTACTTGATTATGGGAATTTGGGGGATTCTGAATGGCAGCAAAGATGTAGTGGGACAAATTCTCCATTGGTGTCCCTGTCCAACTCTGTTGACGTTAATGTTGCTATTACCAGATTTAGCAAGTGATTGCTAGAAAAGAGGATAATGGTGACCTCATGCTAAACAAAAACTTTTAGAAGGACGATAAACCCTCTGTGCCTCATTCATGGAGACAAGCCTGCTTCTCTTTGAAGAGGCTGCACTACTGACCGAAGAAAACTTGCCCACTGACTTTTCTTTTATATTTTTAATCGCTTCTGATGACAATTGGATTAGATCATCTCAGAGGTCTTTTCCAACCTTAATGATTCTATTACTCTAACCACTGCAGCTGGCACAGAACCAGCTACAGCAATCATTCCTTCGATGCACCTGTTCCCTAATTTTCATTTCCAAGTAACAAGAAAATGTATTATAAGGGTAAGCTGGGGACAACAAAGAGTAGAAGCGAGTTGTATTTGTGATGCAACACACAGAGAACTGCTTGGTTTAAGACAGGACAAATAGAACAAAGAATTATATTTTATGATTGAAAGACTAGGCTTGAAGATGAGTGATGTTTCGTTAGAAAGCAAACACCAAACAAGTATCATGCAGCAGACTGCATGGAGCA